CATACAACCTAAATGTTTCACAAATCACAGTTAATCTTATATATCTGCTTTTCTTGCAAGTCTTGTTGTAGTGTTATTAGAAGTAGGATTCTCATTCGCAACTGTGTTTATTTCAACAATTTTATTAATTTTTCTTTTTCTTTTGTTTGAGAAACATACAACCCATATGTTTCATAATCACAGTTAATATTATATATTAAATTTTCTTGCAAGTCTTGTTGTAATGTTATTAGAAGTAGGATTCTAAAGTTTGTAGCTTCTGTGACTATGTATACTTTAAATCATAGAGTTTCTGACAGCATATCTACAGAAATATTGATAATAATGTATTCACTTATTTTACTCTGAATTATTATGTAACCTTTAAACATTTTTTTAGAAATAGTAGTGTGACGTATAATCCCAAAATTTTATTATTTTGTCTAAGTAGTTCCTATTTCTTATATGACTAGAATGGATAAGGATTTAACTAATTGTATGTAACCATATTATGGTGTATGTTTAGATATAATAATCTGTAAGCTCCATAGTTATTTGTAATAGTCACTTTGGAAACAATAATGTTTTATATGTGAAATTGCATGCTTCTAAGTTTCTTTTACTTAAGTGTAACCACACCCAGAATCTCCAAAGGATTATGAGACACTTGAGCAGCAGTCAAAGAAATTGCATATTCATTATATGCAACCTAACAAACCAACCAAAACCTTTTCCCTGCCCTTAGCTCTGCCTTAGCTCTGCCCTCAAAGTTCTTTCTTTAAAGCCAGCAAGGAAGAGAAACAGTTAGGAGAATGAGAACAAGAAACAGAAAGACAGGGAAAGTTGGCCCTGAAGGGCACCAACTTCAATCCCCGCCTGGGTAAGCACCCTACACTACACCAGTAAGAGTCCTTGGGCAAGACTCCTAACACTGCCTTCACCTACCTGTGTAAAATTATCAAAATTGTAAGTCACTCTGGATAAGAGTGTCTGCCAAGTGCTGTAAATGTAAATATTCTACAGATCTTAAATGTTAGTTGTTTGTCCTGTGTCTTAGTTTGTTTTGTTTCATCTTCTCAGTAATCTCAAAGTGTTGTAACTGTAAGGTTAGACTATTGAAGTGCTGTATCTAGCTGTGTTTGTTTGCAAGTTTCGTTAACCCATTTTGAAAGTATAATTGGTAATGATAGGCTGCTCAGAACCTAGTTTTAGAACAGAAACAGAAGCAAAGCAGTGCTGACTGAAACCACATCAAGAGCCTGCTCCAGCCACTGCCTGCCTCCATCACCAAGAAGAATATCTGCATCCCTCACCGAAGAGGCCGCCAAGTATCTCAGGAAGCCTGCCTTACCAGTGTGGTCCAGTCCAAAGCGTCGACCTCTAGCGGCCTTGCCTTTGACCTGCAGGTCCTTCCTAGGCTGTGTGAGCAGCGGCTCCTCTTCCTCAACATGGCATGCGCATCAACCCGGCTCTGAGGCGTCCAGCAGCTTTGACCTTTGACCTGCAGACCCTTCTCCAGCCCATGCCAGCAGCGGCTTCTCTTCTCCTCAACACACCTCAATCACCGCAGCTCTGAGACATCCAGGTCATAGATTCACTCGCACTGCCCTTTTGGGGTGTCAGTCTCACTGTGATTTTGCTTTTTTATTCACATTTAGGTCAGTTTTACTCTAGTGTTAGTGTTGTTCTGCTTGCTGCTCAAAAGCCATGTAATCTAGAAAATTTCAGTACATTTGTTCAGTATATTCAATATCTCTGGTTTCTTTCCATGATTAGTAATCCAATATTTAGTGTCTTACCATAAGTGGGAAATTAGGTGTTTTCGGGGCCTTGTCCTGCTTTATTGGCTTCAAAAAATAGATGCATGATTGCTGCCAGCATTGCTGCAGAGGTTGAAGAAGAGGGAGGTCAGCCTGTCCGTGCTCAGACCATACGCTGAACAATGCATCAACTCGGTCTGCATGGCTGTTGTCCCAGAAGGAAGCCTCTTCTGAAGCTGATGCACAAGAAAGCCTGCAAACAGTTTGCTGAAGACAAGCAGTCCAAGAACATGGATTATTGGAACCATGTCATATGGTCTGATGAGACCACGATAAACTTGTTTGGCTCAGATGGTGTCCAGCATGTGTGGTAGCGCCCTGATGAGGAGTACCAAGACAACTGACAACTGAGTGCTTATGAACTCATGACATAAGGAAATAGCAGAGACGGAGATGTAGTAGAGCTGAGGTCCCAGTATGCAGCCCTGCTTTACACGACTCTTAATTGGGAAGGGGTTTGAGGATGAGTCATGTGCCTTGGATGCATGGATGGGGGGGAGGTAAGTAACGTGCTACTTTTTGTAGCTAACTACAATTTTTGTAGCTAATATCTGTAGCCGCTACAGTTTTATGAAATGTAGCTAGTAGCTGTAGCGCCTACGGATCTTTGTGTAGCTATAGTGATAATTTTTGCTACAATTTCTCAAACAGGCTTCAGGTGACCTGTGCAAAATGTGAACCATACCACTCAGTTGTTAACTTGGATGGTGGTGATTGTAACTAAGCAGCGGATAGTTCAGGCAAACGGTCACATGCTGATCACCCCTTACTAGTAGGTTTAACTCAAGTCAGCAACCGACATGTTAAGAAGAGGGATTTTGTCTTTTTAACAAAAATGAAACCATCCTGTGAGCCACAACATTTTATATCCATTTTACCATCGTGGCTGTAAGTATTTCTCAGTATGTGTTGATGCACTAGTATAGACTAAAAATATAATATAAATGAAAACACAGACTTAATTTGCTCTACTTTAACTTTTAGTTCAGCTGTAGACACTTTTCTCATGCCTCAGTCAGGAAACTTACATGAAAGAGTTTCTTGTAAAATGTCTCTCAACATTCAACTTTTTACGAGGCTGAAGTCACTTCTTATTCACCAGGTTCTTGTTTGAATTCTCCTGTTCCACCTTAAATGGTGCCTGAGGTGCCAGAATGTAACTGCTGCACCATTTAAGGTGGAATGGGAAAATTTGAATGAGAAGCTGCAGCCTTAGTGTTTGTGACTTATTGTTTCTTGTTGCAGATTAAACATATCAGGAAACCAGCTGGAGTGATTATAAATGCATTAAGTCCATTCATCTCTAAATTATTGATGTTTGTCTTAAATCTCTTTCTTTACCTTTTTGTTAGCCATTAGAGTAAACATTACCATGACAGAGAACATCACGTGAGGTCCAGTCAAAGTGAGACAGTTTTCAGTTTTCAGTTGGCAAACTTGTTTTTACTTGCTTTAAAAATGTCGGACTCAGAAAAAGTACCTCACCTGTACTTATTAAGGAAACATTGAGATAAAGCCGTCATGTTCTGAGACACATAAGATGGACATCCGTCCCACCGCCATTTTTAAAAGCTCAAAGCATAAACTCCTTCTCCTCTACAGACCAGTTTCCGCTCCTGCCATATAAACGTTTGCTATGACGTGAAACACACATGCGCAGAACGTACTTGGACATTCTGATTAGAAATGTAATCAGATACAGGTGTTTATACTGATATTATTCTTCTATTTAACGGATGATTTCCCGCCTTGTTCAAATGGATAGAAATTGTATTCCGAATGGCCTTAATCAGGCTAGGCTATTCCGATTGAGGTGTTTACATGGACGTATTCCATTCCAATTGAGCTATTAGTCGGATTATTAACGAATTTTTAAGCTGCATGTAAATGTGGCTAATGTCATGTCTGTACATATCTTGCTGAAATGTTTAAATTGAAGCTGTTTTATTTCAGCGGTTGGCATTGCTTTGCACAAAATTGTTTGGTTTGTATTCAATTTGATTGATTTTTGTTAGGAAAAACCTGAAATGATTGACTTTACCTTTGCTTAGTCTTAATGTTTGTTAGATATAACCCCTTTGGTTGTGTAAGTCTGATTGTTAGTTACACTTAAACTTACTTTTTGGTGATCTTTTTGTATATTTGCAGCTTATCAATCTTGTGAGCCAGCAATGGAGTATGACGTGTTGAGAATGGCTCCTGCCTAATTTCCTTTAAACTTTTATGTTTGGAGTGAGTTTGTGCTTTAATTGCCGCGTTTATGGGTGTCGGTCTTTATAATTACACATACACTGGTGCTGCAAGCAGTAGGCCCAAAACCAGCGTTTCACAAACTACTGCTGACTGCTGCAATTTGCCATCGAGCCCACAGGTAGAGCTGAAAATGGATGATGCGGCTCTGAAAGCTGAAAGTTAATTGACCGTTGGAAAACAATGTTTTTTTAAATATTGTGTACCTTTAGTCCATTTACAGGCACATTGCACTTGCAAAGCTTTGACATTTATTTGAACATTATAGCACCCTCTATTGAAATGCACCAAAAACTACATTTACATTGTAATCTTTACTGTTCAAGTCTGATTTTTTGCTCAGATTTTTCTTTCTGCTTTGCTGAATCATTGGTGTACCTGAACAAATCCACACACGTTTTATCATCAGCTTAAAGCTTCTGCTGCCCATACTGTATGATGAACACTCATTACAGTTGTAATGTGCCAATGGAAGTCAGACACTCACGGTTCGAAAACACAACAGAGGTTTTACCAGCAGAAGCAAAGTCAAGTGATATCCCAGTGGATTCTGGGAGATGGAGTCCAGGTTCCTCTGAGAGCTTGACAGACGCATGACACGGTCACCAAGACTACATATCAGATACATACAGGTATCTCATGAATGTGGAAGAGGTTCAAATCTGGTTTAAGAGGTTCAAATCTGCTTTAGAAAATATCAGCCCTCACACAGCTCTGAAAAATCATACCAGTAACACTTTTACTAAAATTAAAACAGGTTCTTTAAAACAATCTGTTATAGATCTGTTATATACTGTTAGACCTCTTATGATAAACTGTTAGAACTCTATTAAAATGACCAATGTAAGAAAGGTTGCTGTATTCAGAGTGTTCAGTGAGGAGAAAGAAAAACAAGCTCGCTAATAAGAACAGAGTTTCCTTTCACTTCTCCCAGTTCACCCCCTAGCAAAACTGGGCGTTTCTTGCATACAAAAGGACGAGTAGTGTCTTCATTCCTTTCCAGTTCTTGCCTTTTCAGCTTGAAACTCTCCTCAGGTAAGGCTTTAAGATTTATTGCTGTAAAGTCAAAGTCAAAACAGTGACAGTAAACTAAAATAATTTAAATACTCTAACATAAAATCCAATGATGCTATAAACATCTTATAAGGTAATATACTGTAGTATTATTATGCTATTTTTATTTAATGTATTTATTAATTTACTGATAACTCAAACATCCACAGATATGCTAAGCAAAAATGTATGGAGTTAGTTCTGACCCTGATATACTAGAATTATTTTGTGTATTTAGACAGAAATCAGTACAACTATGAGCTTATTTTGCTTTAAAATGATTATAACTTTTAGACCTGCAAGTCAAATTTTAAAATATTCTCCATCATTTAATGGATCTTGATTTTACTGGATGATTTTTTAAATTATTGTTTATTTACTTTTTTACTTCTAAAATTGCTATTGACTTACTGATACTGTTTTTGATGTGGGTGCCTCTTAGGACATAGTGAACACTTTAAATGTCTACTGGTCAATTATTCTGTTATACTTCTATGTCTAAAGTCAACAACAAAAAGCACTCTGGATTCATTGTAAAGAAATTAAACCAGTAAATGTAAATCACATTTACAGAATCTTCAAGATTCATAAACAGAGTTCTTTATCTGTTTAACAATGAAACTTTTGAGCTTGGTAAATAATTTGGGGTATTAATCCTTTGCTGTGCATGCTTCAATTTTTTTCTATGAACATTTAAATAGCAAAAGCTAGATGTAATGGGTAGGTACAACCCAGGAAGACACCTAGTGCATTGTACTGCATTACTGTATAGTTCTAAAAAGGCTGATAGGGTGGTAGCAAAGGTGAGCCCACAGTTTACAAGGTAAACCTGGCACTCACCCCCCCACTGCCCAAGGCAGCACTGTGCTGCAAATTTAAGCAGTGAAATGACAAATTTCCAATAAAGTACATTGCATACAAAATGTCTCACTTCCTTGATGTGTACTTTCTTTTTAGGCTCAGAATGGCTGAGCAGGATCAATACCTCACAGATCTAAGGTAATAATAGATTCATAGCTATATTTATTTTTCTACAATAATATTCTACTTTGATATGTTGTCCAAAGTGTTAGACTCCTAAGGACCAAGGTTTTATTTGTTAATGAGAACTTTGGTACTTACAATCTTGAAAACATATCTGCTGTCCTTTTAATAGATCCAGCTTACTAGCTGAATGAACATCAGAAGACATTCATGGTTATATGGTTAAGCCCTGCTGCTCACAGTAGTAGCAGAGTATTATAAAGATGGTGCAATTAGACTAACAAATAGGACATAAGGTATTTGCAAAGAAGATTAAACTGGAAATACTATATGTTGCTTGTTCAGATTTGGGGTTAGTCCAGAGTAATAGTGGTCCAGAGTTGTTTTAGATCGAGGTCAGTTGATAGGTTGGTCTAGACTGATTCTGGTCCAGATTGAGGTTGGCCTTTATTTATGTCAGTCCAGATTTAAGCTGTGGGAGCCATTTGAATGTTTTATTTCTTACTTTGCCACAAACAGAAAATCGACACTTTAAAGATCACATTTGACCGACAGCCGGTTTGGTCAGACTCTGAAGATGAGATGACACAAAATTCCCAAACTGTCATCCACATTGAGCAACTTGGCAGCTGTGATAGAAGGACAGCTAAACAACCTGAATTCAGCCAGAAATGAACCCAGCACCATTCGCCAAACTAAATGGGCTGTAAGATGCCTTACCGACAGGCTGGAACAAAACAACATTAATACTGATCTGGCAAAAACTGACAAAACAGAACTGAACTTGATATTGTGGCAGTTTTATGGCTCAGTCTGATTTGGTCACACTCTGAAGATCAGACTACACGTTTGGCGAATGGTATTGGGTTCATTTCTGGCTGATTCCAAGTTGTTTAGGTTCTTCTGTCACAGTTGCCGACTGAAAAGCTGCTAAGTGGTGATGACAGTTTGGGAATTTAGTGTGAGGAGCTGGAGAACAAACTGACAGCTGTGCAGCGAGTGGGCGGAGCTCGTTACTCTGACGTAGCAACAAGCTGCTTGTTAAGGAACTATAATTTGGCAGAAGGAACTGCGAACATTAAAACATATTAAACGCCGCATTCATGGCTCAGTTTATTAATTTATTACTTTATTTATTTAACTGTTATATAAAAACAATAGAACACTCAAGGTTGTGTGCTATTGGGAACAACATCATGGCATGTTATTTTGTGATAACACACTCCCTCTTGTGTTCTATTGCTTTAACATTTAGGCTGATCAAGACAAAGGTTGGTGTAGACATTGGTCCAATTTGATCACTAAAGGTGTGTCCTAATTGAAAATTGTCCTGACTGAGGTTTGTCCAAACTGAGGTCAGTGCAGATTTAGGTTAGAGCAAATTGGTGCTGGTTCTCATAAAAGCTAAGATTGAGGTTGGTCCAGATTAATCTCTAAATGTTTGTTAGGCCCCTGATGTTACTGAAGATGAGCATGATTTAACTAGAATAATGCATTTCCTGAAGAAAATGCATAAGCAATTTTAGAACAGGTGCTAAACAGTTGCCAGGCAGTTGCTGTTGTAATTTATATGGTTTTAGGCTGTTGATAGGCAGTTGGTGTTGAATTCTAGGTGCTTGCTGAGGTGTTGCTAGGCAGGTGTAGTATCCCAGGTGGTTTCTAAGTTGTTGCTAGGAGGATGCTATGGTATCCAAGGTGGTTGCAAAGGTGTTGCAATGTGGTTGCTAAGGTGTTGCAATGTGGTTGCTATGTTGATTGGTGTTTGGTATGGTGTTTGGTATGGTATCCCAGGTGGATGCTAGGTGGTTGCTATGATATCCCAGGCAGATGCTAAGGTGTGGCTAGACAGTTGCTTTGGTATCTGAACTCTTTGCTAAGGTGTTGCTGGGCAGGTTGCTATGGTATCCAAGGTGATTGCTAGGCGGTTGTTATGGTATCCTATATGGTTGCTAATGTGCTGCTTGGTTCTTGCTATGCTATATCAGATGGTTGCTAAGGTGCAAAGGTGTTGCTAGGTGGTTGCTATGGTATTCCAGGTGGTTGCTAGGCAGTTGCTGTAGTATCACAGGCAGTTGCTAAGGTGTTGCTAGGCAGCTGCTGTGGTATCCTAGGGGGTCACTAAGGTCTTGCTAGGTAGTTGTTATGGTATCCTATGTGGTTGCCAAATTGTTAGTAGGCAGTTGCCATGGTTTATGGGATATTTATTTAGTTGATCATAGGGAGTTGCCAAGTGTTAGCTATGTGTTGTTGAAAATGAATACGAGTCGGAGGAACAAAAGATGAAAAAAACGATACCTAGAGGATTGCAGGTCAGTATGTATGTGGAGTAGAGCTTGAGGACCTGACTGAGAACATTTATGTAATTTTGTGGCTGTAGGGTGACGAAGTAAAAGAGTTTGTGTGGTGGTGAAAATGAAACTATTGGTGAAACAAAGGATGGGAGAAAAAAAAGACAGACAGATGAGTGTGGGTCATAACAACATTGAATTCATGCTTGGGGGCCTGCCACGAGATAATGTATGTGAAACAGTGTCTTTAGGTCCAGCAGAAGTACAGTAGATAATACCGTAGATGGGCATGCAATTTTTTACCGTATTCATTCCTGTGGGGAAATTAATGAAGATTGTATGAAAACTGTATGTCGAATCAAAAAGCTGTATTTAAGTACACCATTCCTGATCAGACTAAACTTTCTGAAGTTGGAACAGTGTTGATATTTTGAAAACTGCAGGAAGAGTTGGCAGACAAAAATCTGGCAGAAAAAAGAGAAGAATATAAATATGATACTAGTGTTGCACTTTAAAAATCTTGAATAATTTCCCAGGTCATGAGTTACAGCATGAAAATCACAAAATTGTTTGCCAGGCAACCCCTAGCCTTTATATTTCAGTGTCTTTTTTATATTTCAATGTTTTTTTTAAAGAATGGTCTGAATGTAATTTACCTTTTATTTCATGATTACAAAACTTTAAAAATCATGTTTCAAGAAGGTGTGTTTCAATTTATAACTGACATTACCACCTTTTTATTTAAACAATAATAATAATAAATATTATTATTATTATTATTATTATTAGTAGTAGTAGTAGTAGTAGTAGTAGTATTAAAACATATATGAGCACTGGACAAATAGAATTGTAGATTTAAGTTAAGGCATTACCACTGTTTTTTCTTTGGCATAATGAAATAAAACTTGGTATTGATTTTTAAAATTTTCTCTGCAGCCAAGAGAATGGAAATCTCGAATTACAAATCAGGGCGTTAAGGTAAGAGACCATTTAAATTATTAATTTAATCTATGTTTTAACCCAAATAAAAACTAATCAAGTATTTCAATTATCATAAATTCATAATGATTTCAGTGAAAATATTATATACTGTAAAGAGTAGCTGAACCTCAGTTTTGCTTAAAGAGACACAGTCAGTAAATCAGGGTGTATTTTCTACTCCTGAAGATGTTTAATATTTTATCCAAGGAACTTCATCAGTTCACAGACAATCTCTCCTTCAGTTCAGTTTTATACAGATTAACTGCTTTGGGTTTGAATCATGTAAAGATGTAATGTTTGTTGTAACATTCCAGCTACAGAGAAGATAACATTACTAATGCTGAAAGATGGAAAATGCTACTAACTTTCAGTTTATGGTTTCTTACTGGAGGTTTAACGTGACAATACATTTTAATATTTCTTTCTGCTGACCATAAATTGCAGAATTTAATTTAAAACCGTATTCAGACTGCATATAGTTTTCTGTGTTTATTCAATAAAATAAAATATTACTGTAATCTATGTGAGATCTATAATCTGAACTTGTGTTTATTTCTGTAATAACTGATCCTGTTGTATATTCATTTCAGTAAATTATTGGAAATGTAATCACACAAAATGTCGTAACACACAAGGTGCACATATGCCCCCTAGTGTGTGTGTTCACTAGTGTGTATGTGGTGTTTCACTGCACAGATGGATTAAATGTGGAGGAGAAATTTCCCCATAGTGGGACTAATAAGGGTCACTTAATCTTAATCGTTATTCTGACTGATCGTTCTATAAAGCTGAGTTATGCTCCTCACAGTGACTGATTTCTGCTGTACCTGGACTTATAATGAACTTACCTGACTTAGTCCTCATGAGTGCCACTTTCTTAAAAGAATTTATTTTTGAAGATTAATTTTCAGTCTGTGAAGTATTTACAATCTGTATTATTCTTTCATTTACTGAGAAAATTAATAAATGACCTGTTAACTTCCTCAGCAAACATCTACCATCTTAAAGGACAGATAATTCTGAAAATAATCTGGTCCTATTAGTTTTTAGGACTTTAGAACTTTTTTTTTCTTCTTGTAAATGTTATGCTTAGATTGGAGAATGAGAAATGCAATAAAGAACTTGAAGATCTAAGGTAAGAAAATCCCATAACTTTGTTATTATGTATAATTACTATGTAAACTGAAATCCGGATATTCCAGAGAAAAATATGCTTGCCAGAAGTCGGATTGACAGCATTTAATAATGACATATTTGTTTGTATTGAAAAGTTATCTTAAACTTTAAAAAAAATCTTTTTATATCACTCTCAGACAAGAAAACAGAAACCTCAAATTAGAAATCAGCAAATTAAGGTAAGACCGTACCTTTATATATTATATTACAGTACATTACATTAAACTATTATTTTATTGATCCCAGAAGGACATTGTTTATTCTACAATTATCAAAATAATAATCTTAATAATCAGTGATTTGTTATAACCTGAATTAACAATACGTTCGGCACACACCAACTCCTCCGTCTTCTCTGAGAAGCTCAGATGCTCTTTTTTTTTTTAGCTAAATGAGGTTTGTTAGGTGTACACAGTTATGTGTGGCTAATCTGACATGCTGTGTGATGATAGCTTTAGCTAACATACTGGCCAGAGGCTGAGAAGTCAGGATCACATAAGGGATGGGTAAGGATCAGATCAGGGTGGACTCAGGATCAGATCAGGGGGAGTCAGGATCACGTCAGGGTGGAGTCAGGATCAGATCAGGGCACAGTCAGGATCGAAATCTGAACAATGTTGTTCAATGTTGTTCAAAGACTATAAACAGGATAGTTTTAGGCTTTGTATGAAACTCCAGTGTAATGTGAGAGTTGTATTTGGTTTTATTTAATCGTCTTGAGGAACACAGCAAATACAGGCATTTTTACCATTGAAACATTAACAGGCAGGTTTGAAGAAAGAGATTTTTTTTTCAAGACATTACATATTTTCCTTCATGTAAATTATGTATGTAAATTGAGCTAAACTCACTAAAGTTGGTTTCAGGAATTTCAAGAACAAAATTCAATGTAAGTGAACAAGGCAGGATAATGTCCTTTGTTTATTTTAGGTATTCTCAGACATGATAATGAGCATTATAAAATGGATATGACTATTTCAGCCGAATCTGTTATGAAATCAATAATTAATTATTTAACATTGATAGGTCAAGTCTTCAGGACAGCCAAAATGAATTGCCCAGCCCCAAGGATAGGTATGCTTTTAACTCGACTTTTTGTTTTTGCTTATCATTGTGTAGACCACTGTGTATGTCTATGTCTATGAGTGAAATTCCAATGTAATGTGAGGATTGTAGTTTTTAACAAGAGCAGACTTTTTTTTTCCATTGAAACAAACAGGCAAGTATTAAGAGCTGGCAATTTCATATTTTCCATCATGATGCAGATTAAGTAAACTCAAAGTAACTTATTTGGTTCAAGGAATTTCATGAGGTATATGTAAGTGATGTCCTGAGAATTTATTTTTATTTCTACTTGCTTAGTTTATATACAAATTTGATTAATAATATTGTATAATGCCAGAATCTCTTTTATTTACTTCAGTGTTTAAAACTATTCAGATGTGAGACTGAGCATTTCTACATGGATATAATATCACAGCACATACAAGAAATGTTTTTGACTTGTTAGTCTAGGTTGTTTGTGCTCAGCATTTGTTCACAGCGTTTTTGTTCAAGGATTCTTATTGTAGGGGGCCCATCAGAACCAGCAAGACCAGTGTGTCTATGTTTGTGTTGGTGGAGAGAGTGAAAGAGAGAGACATTAGCTGAATCATGGAGCAAACAATTAGAGAAATGTTATGTCTGTTCATTGTAGCTGTGGCTGACAACAGCTCAAATTAAAGCCACACAATTTATGTGAAAGCTGTGCCTCTTTAAATAGCAATGAATGCTACAACTGGTGTCAGAAGAAAAAAGTTTTCAATTCAGCAGGAGAAACTCAGATTGTTTGGCCTCAAGCAGCTAAGCTATGCTACATTGCTCTGACAAAAGGTAGAGCACTCTTGTATGAAAATAGAGGAGAAAGATGGCAAGTATGCACCCTCAAGAATATTACAGCTGCCAGGGTGAAGTGTGCCACCTGTGAGTGCAATGAGAAAGCAGTGGTGGTGATGTCAGCTGGAAATCCAAATGTACACAAAGATGACCCATGAGCAGTGTTTAGCTGTAAGCATTAAGACTCCCAAATACTCTAGTAAGCATAACAGGAAGCTTTCCCTTGCTCAATTTGAACTGGTAGCCAAGTTGTGTGACTGGTCTGATGAACAGAAAACCCTGCAGCTCATGCTATTGTTTGACCCTAGGATGCTCCTGAGGTGTTTCCTTCAGTTTGAACTGTGAAACCACCAAAGACAGGCAGGGGAACTATTAAGAGTCCTAGCTAACAATATTGAAACATTATTAACATTATTAATTATCATTAAACACTTGCCTTCTGTTTGTTTAGAGTGAGTTAGCCTATGACGAATTCATCACAGCACCGTCTCTAAGCTGTGCAGCCATACGAAGCTGACTCACCCATGCAATTTTCTTGAGGCCCTGGAGTTACCACTGAAGAAAAAAAAAACGATGTGGTCAACAGGTTCATGTGCACAGATGTTCCCAGTCCTGCAGTCAGAGCTGTAGAGGAGTCAAGTAGTTGAAACTGGGTGGAAGAGATGACAGAACTTATCAAAAGGTTGGCTATGCCCACAGCCACTCAATGGCACAGGACCACTGGTGCTGGATGTGTGGCTGGCCAGGACATCTAGCTAGGGCTTGGCTATTGGATGTGAAATTAGCAGGAATCATGCTAGTGTCACAAGTGAGCTGAAAACTGCAGACCTGTACATCCACATCCCACATGCAAACAGAAGATTGCAGGCCTAGGCAAAAAGAGCCACAGAGGCAGCAAACAAACAGTGGCTGTGGTGGGCTAAATGTCCATATCAGACTCCACCACGCTTCCATCAATGTTGCCCTGGTGAACATGGGGTTGACAGTCATAGTGGCCCAGCTGAAAGTGGTACTCATGAGGTTAGAGCTGGAAGAAATAGTAATTCATCTACATGCACACTGGTGAGCTAGCAATGATGACGGGGAGAGGATGGCTGATGTTGACAGTCAGATGACCGAATATGCACCACTTGTGCTTTCTTGACCTGGACCTTTTGAGAAACCACAGGTGACAATTGTATCTAGAGAGTGCCACATTGAGTTTCAGAGATGGTCATGTGGTGATGATGAAGCCATCAGATGCCCAGTGAAAGGATCTAGTAGGGCACCATGTAGAGAATGCCAAGAGGACAGCAAAGAGAGGTGAGGCTGACAGAGGACAAGAAGATGCTGCAAAGAATCAGGGCCAGGGGAAGAGTATGATCTCCTGAAGAAAGTGAAAGACAGCAGTAAGCTACCACAAAGCATGGGTGACTGGGGAAGCATATGCTTTCTCGACAACTCACAACATGCTGGGTGGAGGAGCATGGAATCCTTCTTCCACATGCAGGTTAGGCAAAGAACTAAACGATTTGCATTATTCAATAGGACAGTTAGGCGGTGAACTAATTTCCTCCATGCATCCTTGACCAATGCATGATCATAGATCATAGGGCTCAATGAAGTCACAAAGAAAGACTCATGTCCCATTTCACATGTGAAGTAATTTGTGACTGGATCAAGCTGGTTTTCATCTTTAGACTTGACAGTCAGGTACTGGCAGGTCCTGCTGTCCCCAGATGCTACATCCAAGACAGCTTTTTACACAGGCAGATGGCTTTGTCATTTTAAGGTCCTTGCTGTCAGACTTTGTAATGCTCCAAAAATGTTTAAACACTTGATGGAGAGCATGCTGTAGAATGTTCCACAACAGTAGTGCCTGGTCTTCTTGAGTGACATACTGGTGCTTGGAAGCTCATTCAACTCTGTGACTGCTGTGACTGCTTCGCTCAAGATACTGGAAAGAATCAGGGCAGCAAAATTGAACATACTCCCTGGGAAAAGCAAATTCCTGAACAAAGAACTGTTAATCTTTGAGCACTGCATAGGAGGTGAGGGGATTGATACTGCACAATTGGTTCACACAAGTGACTCACCTTCAGTGAGCAGAAACAACTGAAAAGGTTTTAAGGGCTGGCCTCTTATTACCAGACATTTGTATGAGGGAATTGCATCACCTGGCAGCTGTAGGGTGCAGGATAACAATACAGAGGTGTGAATCATTACAGGTGGACAATGATGAGTGGGATGAACAGTGGATTCAGCATACAGACCTGCAGCAAGTGATGTAGTGAGTGAGTGTCCCCATTTATGAAAGGCCTGTGGGCCAAGTTTGACAATTTGATATTAGTTTCCTACAGCAGGCCTGGGTGGAGCCAGTGAGGGGAGAAATGATATGGTAGGTTATTGTGCCTGGGGGCTACAGGAGGCAGTTTTAAAGGCCATGTTGGCCCTGCAGGGTCTGGTCATTTTTGAGTCACAAAAACATTTTACAGACTCTGCCAGAATTTCTACTAGGGATGAGTTGGGAAAGGAGTTGACATGGTGGGCCTGTCCCTATGCACCACATGTGGGAACCATTTTGTGCTGAGTTAGAGGCTAGAGGCCTATGTGTTGCCAGGAGGCTGAGACCGTTGTTGCTTTGAGGATGTTCAATAGATTAGGGGTCCCTCTGTCTATTCATAATCACTAAGGGCACAACTTTTAATCCAGAGTGTTCACCATGTGTAAGTGATTGGGTATTAGGAAGAGTTGTGTAGCCCGTGCGAACAAGTTACTATGTTTGGGACTCAGTAAAGAAGGATAATGCTTGACCTAGGTTCATGGGAGGGGTTTGAATCACTCACAATAATATAGGACTTAAAGAAAATGAACAGTGACATTTATTGTACACCACAATGAGTACTGAAGTCTGGCATTGGCTTGGAAAATAAAAATAAAACTAAACAGTAAAATAAAGGATAAGAGCTCTACAAGGCTAATTCTACATGAATTAAATTGCAGCTGAAATAGACAGTTTACCAAGAATACAATTAAAATATTGTTTTTTTAACCACTCAATAGGCTTAACTTGCACATTTGCCAAGATAGCACTATGGACATAAAAGTAATGGGTTCAATGACTAACAATAAACAAACAAAAGGCAACTGGTAATCAAAGAATAATCTTGCATAAATACAGCTCTGAATGGTTTTCTTAGCTACCATTATCCTGAACTTAGGGTAACAACTGAACTTGTGAGTTAGCCTTAGAAACAACATAAGGAAATCAACTCACCGGAGTTCTCGTGTTCAATGGAATAATTCAGAAGTACATTCGAAAGCTTGATAAAATAGAAATGGTACTATTCACTTCAGGTGCATAAATAACTCACAATGTGTAAATTATTCTAGTATTTCACAGTTAAACATTGGTTCTCTTTCCAGTTAACTCAACAACCAGTTCTTAACATGTTGGAAAATGGAGACTCTCTCTTCTTTAGGCGGAGCGCAGCACTTTCATGTCAACAGTTGACAATGCTTTGCACAAAATTCTTGGGTTTGTATTTGGTTATTTTTGTTGATTTTTGTTAGGAAAAACCTAGAATGATTGCCTTTAGTCTAAATTCTTGTTGGATATCACACCTTTGGGTGTGTAAGTTTGATTGTTGGTTACATTTTTTGGTGATCTTTTTGTATATTTGCAGCTTTTCAATTGTATATTTCTTTCTGGCACATGATTAAATGCAGTGTCTTGTTCACACTGTCAGTTGGGCTTGTTTTCAGTAGCTATCCCAACCCTGTAAATAATACTAATGAAGTGACAGAGTGAAATGGTAACTGGAGAAGGACCCACGGTTTCACGGCTTATTCAGAAGCCTGACAGCATGAGGATAGAAACTGTTCATTAGTCTGGTTGTTTTAGCCCAAATTAATATTAAATCATAAAGTAGAGAAAAGGTAAAAACAGCCTGTGATTGAACAGAAGTATTAAGATTAACTAAAAGATAACTCATGGTTACTGATGGTTACTGTTAACTTCTGGCACCACTGTGAGTGGCAGCCTTTCCAGTCGCTTTGTCTTTTCTGTACTGTTTTCGGCACGTTTTCTTTGCTTTTTCTATATGCTTATATTGCTATTTTAGTGACTGTTTTGTGTGTAACCTTTTTACACACGGGAAGAACTGCTAGCACTTGGGGGTGCAGAGCCGGAGAAACGCTGGAAGTATAAACCATCTGTCCCTTCGGTGGTGATGGAGAATGTAAACTCTTTGGCCAACAAGACAGACAAACTAGCAGCACTGGTTCGTAATAACTGTTATACTTGGAATGTAGTCTTTTATGTCTCACGGAAACGTGGCTAACTGGCAACATTCCAGATGCTAACATGGACATTCCCAGATTCACCACCGTGAGAGCGGACAAGGATGCTAAACTGAGCGGCAAAAGCAAAATTGGGGGACACTGTGCTTTTTGTGAACATCAGATGGTTTAACCCACATGTGACTGTGAAGGAGATAATCTGCTGTCGGGATATTGAACTGCTGGCGGCGAGTCTCCGTCCCTATTACATGCCTAGGAAGCTGTCCCACGCCATTGTTTGTGTTTACATTCCTCCTCATGCAGATGCTGAGACAGCGCGTAACATCATACACACAAACATCGCGAGACTTCAGACCCAGCACCTTGAGGCTTTCATTGCTATCTCTGGCGATTTTAACCACATTACACTGGACTTAATGCTCACTGCTTTTTACCAGTATGTGAATGTGAAGGATGCATACACCGCCACAGCCCTGCCCCCTCTGGGCAAATCTGACCACAACCTGGTCTACCTGCAGCCTCAGCACAAGCCACGTGTTCGAAGACAAGCTGTAACAACACACTCCTTCAGGAAACAGTTGCCTGAAACTGAAGCGGCTCTCAGGGATTGTTTCGAGTCCACTGAATGGAGTGTACTGCAGGAGCCATACAGGGAGCACATTGAGGAGATTACACACTGCATGATGGACTACATGAACTTTTGCACAGACATTGTTGTTCCTGTGAAACCTGTGCATTGTTTTGCTAATAATAAGCCCTGGATAACCAGCAATGTCAAAGGACTGCTAAAGAAGAAGAAGAGAGCCTTTGAAGACAATGACCAGGAAGAGCTTAGGAGCATACAGAGGGAGCTTAAAGTCCAATTGCAAAAGGCCAAGAAGTCCTACAGGAAGAAGATGCAGCAGAAGTTAAGGAAGAATAACATGAGGGGGAATGGTATGAAGACAATTACAGGCTGTAAGCAGAGAATGGACAGCGCCTTAGATGGTGATGCAGACAGAGACAATGAGTTCAGCATCTTCTATAACCAGTTTGACTATCCTGTTCGCATCTCACCCTCCCTCTTCTCAGCTGCTGATACTTAAGTCTCTACCTGCCGGGACATCAACACCTCATTTTCTTCTATTGATATTCATGCACCCCTCAAACAGGCTGACTTCACAGACATCACAGCCCCATCTCCCCCCTCTTCACTCATTAACACATCTGATCTGATCTGCAGCACCGCTGCAGCCCCCCCTCCCTCTCTCACATCTTCACTGCAGATCAGGTTAGAGGTGAGCTGAGGAAGCTCCAAACAAGGAAGGCAGCTGGTCTGGACAAAGTGTGTCCTAGACTACTTAAGTCCTGTGCTGTACATCTTCAACCTGAGGTTGCGACCCTGTGAACTCAATGACTTCAGGCCGGTCGCTCTAACATCACATGTCATAAAGACGATGGAGCTACACCTTCTCAGACCCCAGGTTTGACACGCAACGGACCCCCTGCAGTTCGCCTACAGGGAGAAAGTGGGAGTGGAGGATGCCATGCTATACTTCCTCCATCAAGTCCACTCTTATCTGGACAAGGGTGGTTGCGCTGTAGGAGTCATGTTCTTTGATTTTTTGCAGTGCCTTTAATACCATCCAGCCCCATTCAACTGATAGATAAGCTGGTAAGGATGCAAGTGGACCCACACCTGGTCTCCTGGATTACTGACTACCTCACTGACATTCTGTACAGGAAGGGGCAAAGCCGACTCTACTTCCTGAGGAGGCTGGGGTCCTTCAACATCTGTAGGAAGCTTCGGCAGATGTTCTGTTAGACTGTGGTTGCCAGATATCTTTTATGCTGTGGTGTGCTGGGGCGGAAGCGTGAAAAAGAGAGACAAGATGCGACTGGACAAGCTGGTCAGGCGAGCAGGGTCAGTGGTCGGTGTGGAACTGGACTCAAGGTGGCCGAGAGAAGCACAAACTGCTCTACATCATGGAGGATGATGACCATCCACTGCACCACCATCATGGACAGGAGGAGCATGTTTAGTGGCAGGTTGCTGTCACAAAGCTGCTCAACCGACAGATTCAGGAGATCCTTTGTCCCACAAGCCATCAGGCTCTTCAGCTCTTCAGCTCTTCCCAGGGGGGCCAGAATAGAAGAGAGAAGAGGGAAGAGGAGAGATGAGGACTGAATCTGAATCTCATGTTAAATCATAGCTTTTATCTCATGCTAAAATCTTTAGGTTTCATTTTATCCATCTACACATCTGAACACCTTACTGTACATATTGCACTTTCTGTAGCCCTATCACATATTTTGCACATCTGGACACTCCACATCTAGACACTTTATTTTGGTAAAAACATCAGCACATTTTTATTCAGTATTGTCATTATATGCCATTACCTATTTAGTCAGTACATTTACATTTACATTTACAGCATCTAGCAGACGCTCTTATCCAGAGAGACTTGCAAAAAGTGCTTTGTCTATCCAGAGAACGTATCTTTGCTAGTTACCAGTATTGTCATAATATGCCATTACCAGTGCCTCCTGGTACAGTCATCATTGCACTGCCACTTTCCTCTCAGGTTATAGATTTTATACCAGATTGTTTATTATTTGTACATATGCCTGTAGGTAGGATTTTTTATATTTATTCTTCCTGTTATATTGTTTACACTCTTACCACTGTTACTGTCCTGTGTGACTGCAACTGGCTGCTAAATTTCCTTCGGGATCAATAAAGTATCTATCTATCTATCTATCTATCTATCTGAGCAACAACGAGAAACCATTTTGTGAAAATCACTCACTGTTACTAGTGAAAAGCAGTAAAGCTGTGGCCATCAACAGCCAACAACAAAGATGAACATATTGGCTATACCGGTTAGAAAATTAATTATTAATTATTTAATTTTGATAGGTCTGGACTTCCAGAAAACCAAAATGAATTGTCCATCTCCAAAGAGAGGTATGCTTTTAACCTTGACTTTTTGTTTTAGCTTTGTCACTGTTACTGTGCTGTTTGTTACTGTGTGTAGACTGATGACTACAAAATATGTTTAATCGGGCTCCCGAGTGGTGCAACCATCTAACCACTGGGCCTGTGATCAGGAGGTCACGAGTTTGGTCCATACAGTCATCTGGGGGTGGGAGTGCAAGAAAGCACAATTTGCCTTGCTCTCTGGGTCGGTAGTCTGGCCTCCCATCTTTCCTCTGCTAACTAGCATCACTCAGCACGATGCTAATCAGCACAGGCATCTGTTAGCTGACGTAACAAGTCTGACAGTTAGTGTTCTCCTACTAGTGCGTTCAGCTGTACAATGACGTTCAAAAAGATGCAGTAGTTGGCTTCACAGGTCTTGGAGGAAGCCTGTGCTAGCCTTCTAGTAGTGGTAACACGTGATTGGGGAAGTCATCCTAAAATGAAGATTAGGATGCACGCTGCTGCATTTTGCACAAGTTGTAAGGGTTGTGTAGTTTTCTTAGGAAGTCCAGTAAGAAGAGCATTACAGTAGTCAAGTCTGCTTGTAACAAATGCATGAACAAATTAATCTGTGTTGCTCTGAGATAGAAATGGCCAAACTTTAGCGATATTTCTTAAATGATAAAAAGCTACTTTAGTGACCGTGTTTACATGTGGGGTAAGACAGAGCTCAGAGTCTAAGATCACACCCAGGTTTCATACTTCAGGTTTGGTAGATAAAGCTAAAGAACCAAGTTTCTCAAAAATCATTTTTCTCTGAGTTTCTGTACCAACAATCAGTATTTCAGTTTTTTCATTATTTAATTGTAGAAATTTTGCAACATCCACTGAGAAATATCTGACACACAGCTTGTTAGTCTGTCTACAGAGTCTTGATCTTCAGAAGGAATAGAAATGTATAGCTAGGTGTCATCAGCATAGCTATGAAGATTGATACTATGTTTCCTAATAACATCACCTAGAGGTAGCATGTACAAAGAGCAGAACAAAGGCCCTAAGACTGAACCTTAGGGGACTCCACAAGAAATGACAAATCATTTTGATGAATGATTTCCAAGTGAAACCATGAACTGCCTATTACTTAAATATGATTTAAACCATTCTAAAACTGTGCCTGAGACGCCGACCCAGCATTCAAGACGCTGGAGTAAAATCTTGTAGTCAACGGTATCAAAGGCTGCACGAAGATCTACTAAAACCAAAATAGAAGGATTTTGTGCATCAGCGCTGAGCCTGAGGTCATTCATAATGCAAATCAATGCTGTCTCTGTACTATGGTTAGAACAAAAACCTGACTGAAACTTCTCATATAAATTGTTTGATATTAGATACGTATTTAGTTGTTTGAAAGCAACTTTTTCTAAGGTTTTACTTAGAAAAGGTAGGTTTGAAATTGGTCTAAAATTATTTAGTATAGAAGGATCCATGCTACCCTTTTTTAGCAGAGGCTTCACCAAGGCAGTTTTAAAAGCGTTTGGAAAAACACCTGCTGATAGAACAATTTACAATAGTTAAAACATCATTGTGCACACAATCAAAAACCATCTTAAGGAATGAGGTAGTAACAGGGTCAAGATCACGTAGATGAACTTAGTTTGTTTAAAATAGTTGTAGCTCCTCATAGTTGATAGCAGAGAAAGATGTCATTACTGATGTAGGTGATCTATCAGGAACATTATAGGAGCTTGTTTGCGTCTGCTGAGCTACACACTGTCATATCAGACTATTTTATTTTGGAAATGAATTGCGAACTCTTCACAGATATTAGAAGATAAATCATCATTAAATGCACTAGCAGACAAGTTAGGGTTAATTAGTCGGTCTATAGTGGAAAAAAGGATTTTGGTACTATTTTCTTGTCTATTGATTACACTAGTGAGATATGACTCTCTGGATATTTTCATAGCATTACTATAGACTGAGATCTGCCCTTTGAGAATATCATAGTGTACCTGCAGTTTAGTTTTCCTCCATAAGCGTCTGATTTATGACAGTTTCTCTTAAGCTGGCGTATTTCCGCATTCATCCATGGATTTTTTAAAAGTGCGCGAGCTTTTCTTCCTTTTTATAGGGGCGAGAAGGTCAAGGCCTTCCCGTAATCCAGCACTTAGATCGGAGACTAGATCATTACAGGATGGAGTCGTATCTGTATTCACTGAACTATTATAAACAGTTTTAAACTTCTCAACTGTTTCTGGATCAATGTAACATTTTTTAAAGTAACTTTCAGGTACTTTCTTCTTTACTTCTGAACTGATTTGAAAGAAAATACAGAAGTGATCTGATAAGAAAACATACAAGATTTTAGACACCTTTTTTAAACCCTTAGTGATGACCAGATCCAGGATGTGACCTAGCTTGTGGGTAGAGCTGCCCACGTACTGCTTCAAATCAAATGTCTCTAGAAGTCTAATGAATTTCAATCATTACTATCTGAAGGACTATCAATATGTAAGTTAAAGTCCCCAGACAGAAGAATCTTATCATAGTTTGTGGACGCTACTGATAATAATTCCGCAATTTCTGACATAAATTTACTAATTTTCCTTCGGAGGTCTGTATATTACAATTATTAACACAGGTGTATCATTAAAAAGGTTGATTGCAACAAACTTAAAAGACATGAATTCACCTATAGAGGTACTTTTGCAGATAAAGTCACTATTATAAATGCAGGCCACTCCTCCTCGTCTGCCCTGTCTTACTGTATGTATAAATCTGTACTTTTCAGGAGCAACTTCAAGTAAAGTTGCGGTGCCATTATAACTCAGCCATGTTTCTGACAGAAATATCAAATCCAGCTTAAAACACAGGCAGGCAAATAGACTTCATAGTGATCCATCAATCAAAATAATAAAAGTGGCTACAAAATCAAAAACAGAGCACAAAAAGACTATATCTGTAATAAAAAGACTATATCTGTAACAAAATCCATAATTATTTAATTTTGATAGGTCAGGCCTTCAGGACAGCCAAAATGACTTACCCAGCCCCAAAGAGAGGTATGCTTTTAACATTATCTAATCACATCAATTTAGTTAAATAATTTAAAGCTAAATTGTATCTCTTCATTTCTTTTCACTATTTTAAGAATGAGTAAAGCAGTGGACCACAAATTAGAAAGTAATGAAGAGTCCAGAGAATCTGAACTGCAAACTGTGCTCAAGAAACCTGTAAGTAAGAAGCACTGGGTAAAACTTCCATTCCAGCTGAACTCAACAGAACATGATGGGCAGCAGCCACAGGAAATTAGTACAGATGAACCAAGTGACAACAGGAAACAATCAGAAGACTTGATCAAGGTGAGATTGTCCATCTTTTTCTTAACAATTTTCTACATCTGCTTTAGTAATGTCAAAACTGAAACATTAGCTTAGGTAAGTACAATATAATTAATTATATGAAACTGCAAGGACATCCTCAAAGATCCAGGAGAAACAGAAATGTTAGCTATAGAGATCTGTAAGAAGAGAGTTCTGTTTGTCACCTCATCAAAAACAGTCCAGTTTGTAGATTCAAAGCAGCCCTGAAGCTTTTCAGTGTCTCCAGTGGTTCACCTCTGTTGTGACAACAGGTTTGTTGGTTTGTTGGAAGTTTTGCCTGCATGTTTGGATGAGGGGAACAAGACTGTGGTCAAAATGCAGAGTCGTGCATGTGATGGATTGAAAGACATTTTTAATAGAGGTGTAATCATAATCAGCATAATCCAAAATGTTCAAATGACATGGTGTCTGTAAATAGGCATTTGCTTTATCTGTTAAAATAGTAAGTAATTAGTAGTAAGTTCAGATTCTGTCATTCTACTTTTGCACACACTTGCAGAAGAATTCACATACGAACAAAATTAAAAGAAGAAAATTGTCTGAGAGAGTAGAAAGGTTTGTTTAGAAGCAGAAGTACTTATTATTCCTTTAAGGGAATCTCTTAAAACAATCTGCAGAACACAGCCCCAACTCCAAGTAACACCAACTTAAACAACTACATGTTTTTCGACTGGGGAGGGGGGGGCTTTGCATTCCACCCCAAAAGGCTGTTCTGAAATGGAGAGCAAATGGCAGATGCTACATAGTCCCCCAAAGCGCCAACCATCCCAGCAACCGCACACAGTCTGAAAAAAGTCCCTGGAGCTCAGAGTCCTAGACAGCACAAGTGCTCCCTCAGTCTTCCTCTGACCCAGGCAGGCAGCCGGTGTTTCTAATGTTGTGAGCGTGCAATCACATTTCTTTCTCTTTTCCATCTTCACTTTTCTTTTCTTCTAGAAGCCACTAAAACAGTGCACTTCACCGGCAAAGGCATTTACTGCTTGTACCCAGCCTAAAGGTAAATGCTTGATTTTGGTACTTCGCAGCTATGCTTTACATGGGGTATTTTTGGGGTAGAGTTTTTAATTTTATTAATTCAGTTCATATAGGCTGGACAGTCAGTAAGCCAAAAGTGAGGATAGACAGAAAAATATTCTCATTCTCAGATTTTAATGAAAAATAGCAAAACACCACAACTACCACAATTTATTTTATATTTGGAATCAGTCAGAAAAAATTATTCAACAGTTTTACACATGGTCACTGCTCCATAAGGGAAGGAAACTTTAGTGAAGGAACAATGAGGTTTCCTTTTTGCCTGAGAAACATGTTTTTGTCACATGCTGGACTGACAAATTGAAAGCGAACATTGTATTTATGAAATATGTTTCTTTCATCTGGTTCATTGTTCTGTCTCTTATTAATTGTATCCCTGTGCTGTTTCCAGAATCACTAGTTTCTATCGGCATAGATTTTGGCACAGCATTTACTGGATACAGCTTTGGGTTTAAAGGAGCAAAACAGATTCGGCAGCCTAAATGGGGTGAAGAGTACGGAATGAACACCCCAAAAACTCCTACCTGCATTTTGTTTGATGAAGATCAAATTTTTCTGAAGTTTGGCTATGATGCCATAATGACATACACCAGACAGACACGGAGAAATGAAGCAAAGAAGCTTTACCTCTTTGATGACTTCAAAATGGAGCTCTATGGCAAGGTATGACTGTAGCTCCATAAAGTGCTTAGTACACAGTATTTTAATGAACAGACCAGTGTCCCAAATGCTAAATACTGTTAGTGTTATATTTAGTGTCATATTTAATACATCAGAGTTAACTTTAACTGAGCTCAGCAGCTGCTCAGTCACATGGGTGATGTTGGTGTTTGTGTTTTTATTTCTCAGGTGTTGCACAGAGACTCATTGATGACTGCCAAAAATGGGAAAAAAATGAGAGCTATGAAAGTGTTCTCTGAGAGCCTGAAATTCATGAAAGATCACGCCCTGGATATGATTGGAAAGCACACATCTGGAGTAAAGTACTCTGCCTCTGATGCTACATGGGTTTTGACAGTTCCAGCCATTTGGAGCTCTGCAGCTAAAAAGTTCATGACAGAAGCAGCTATAGAGGTGAGTGTGATGATATTATCAAGAAATATACATTGTAAACATGGTGTTGACACACATTATTTATATAAAAACTAGTTTGATTTGGTGAAATGTGCCCAGCATTATCCCAGATTATGAAGATTAAAATGTTAGAAATCTTTATGTTAAGGCTGGTCTGGTGTCCGAATCTGAGCCTGAAAAACTGATTGTAGCTCTGGAACCAGAAGCAGCATCTGTGTGGTGTAAACAGCTCCCAAAAGAAGGTTTTATGGAAGGGGATCTTACAGAAGCAGAGACAATAGAACAAGTTTCAGGAACACAGTACATGGTGGTGGACTGTGGAGGTATGTAGATATTGAGCTGTTGATGTTGCATTTCAAATTTATTTTACAATCAGGTTCACTGGAATTTAGTAGATCAAAGATAAGTTACAAATATGAAAAATAAACCCCTTAAACAAAAATATAGTTTAAAGTTCTGAAAATGATGGACAAAGTATTACAGAATGTGTATTTGATTCTTTGGAACCTGATGATTCTAGAGAAAACTATGTGAGTGGGTCATTGTTCCTTTATGAAAGAAACTGTTAGATACAAAGTTAGAAACTGTATGCAGTTATGGATAATTTAAGCCTGCATGGTACCATACAGTCAAATGGTATTGCATTCTCTATTATATATTTATGGTTCCAACATAGATACATCTAACTGAGCCAAAATACCACTCAAGGATTATACAAAATTGTGTAATCTTTTTTTCTGAGAGTAAAGTTCTGTATGTTGTACTGTGTCTCAGGTCAGTGTTACTACTATGGAATGTTTCTCTTGTTTTTGGCAATTTTGACTCTTTATGCTTTCTCTTTTCAGGTGGAACCATTGACATCACAGTGCATGAGGTGGTGGAAGGGGGTCGTCTAAAGGAGCTGCACAGGGTATCAGGAAATAACTTGGGTGGCCAAACAGTGGACAAAAACTTCATAGTGTTCCTCAGAGAGATCTTCTCTGAAAACGTGTTTGATGAGTTTGAGGAAAATCATCCCAGTGAGCTGAAGAGGCTGATGTATGATTTTTCCATGTGTAAGCGTTATGATGGAGAGGTGCTGGTGCAGTGTCCTTATAATTTACAAGAGCTAGCCCGGAAAGTAAAAGACATAGAAGATTATTTTGAGGGAAACAGCGATGCTGAATGGGAAAGTGGGTCAATACTGCTGTCAGGGACAAAGCTGAGAGCTTTACATTATGATTGTATCCGAGGCATAGAAAGCCTGATAGAAGGAATTTTGGAAAAAAGCAACCTGAACGTCAGATATATTTTGCTGGTAGGAGGCTTTGCCCTGAGTCCTTACGTGAACGGCTTTGTTAAAGAGAAGTTTGGGTCAAAGTATAAGGTTCTCTGCCCTGTAGATGCTGCATTAGCCGTTGTGAATGGAGCTGTTATGTTTGGCAGGATGCCAAATGTTGTGGAATCACGGATCTGAGCACTGTGATGTTTGTTTTTCACTGCTTAGGAAAGAATGGCAAGTGAAACTTTTTGATGAGGAGAAAGGGTGCACCTTTATTACGATTTATGATTGCGATATGCTAGATCAGTACCAACTGTAAATAACCCAGGTAATCTAAGCTTAGTTTGTAGTAAAGATGTTGGAGCAAATAAGTGAGGATTCTTGTCACATTTCCCTTCACAACTCAAATCCTCTGTGGCGCGCACTCACTGAACTGAAATCAATGGCAAGCAACACTGGAACTCTAGAAAGTGAAATGGTTCAGGAATGGTTAACATTAAATGGCCATTGTTACTGACAGTGTCAACATTTTGTCCCTACAAACTTTCTCTACCTTTTTTTCCATAGTTCCAGTGTTGCATGCTGATGATTTCTGTTTAGTGAGTGTGCACTGCAGCAAACCCTTGCTGACCAGGGATGTGACCTTAATGTCAAGATGCATGACCTCTCCTTCTGGCAATCTGATGGACGAGTCTGGATTTGGCTGTTGCCAGGAGAATGGTACTTCTCTGACTGCATTGTGCCAAGTGTAAAGTTTGGTGCAGGGGGGGTTATGGTGTGGGGTTGTTTCTCAGGAGTTGGGTCCAGTTAAAACGAACCCTTAATGCTTCAGCAGACCAAGAGATTTTGGACAATTTCTTGTTCCCAACTTTGTGGAAACAGTTTGGGGACAGACCCTTCCTGTTCCAACATGACTGTGCACCAGGGTCCATAAAGACATGGATGAGTGAGTTTGTTGTGGAAGAACTTGACTGGCCTGCACAGAGTCCTGACCTCAACCCGACAGCGAGCCAGGCCTTCTCATCCTACATCAGTGTCTGACCTCACAAATGCACTTCTGGAAGAAGGTCAGAAATTGCCATATATATATATATGAAAAATTTGAGGAGGGGTGTATATAATTTTAGTGCAACAGTTTGAGATTGTAAGAAACATAATACATATCTCGAGACATTAATTTATAATCATTATTCTTTGTTCTATATTTAGATCTTCATTATGAAGTTATGTGCGAAATTGAAATTGAATTTTGAGCTTCCAGGATCAAGTGAGTTGCAAAGTGAACCTCATATGTTACAGATAATGCAGTTAAAACTTTGTTTTTGAGAATGCATTAAAAAGTAAATTTGAAGACATTGTGTTGAATGTTCTCTTTTTTCATAAGCAATAACATGTTGCTTATTTGTTAATTATTACCATAACTTGAAATATTAATTTTTATTTCACAAAACAACAAACAACAAGGGGATAGGGGGCAACAGACAGCCAAAAAAGACAGACAGCAACAGTGATCATAGGTGCAACATCACAAAATTAAATAAGGGATGAAATGTCCATGTTCAGTGTATACCTTGCAGGAAATCCAAGATACGTAACACAAAAGTTTGCCATGTTTCAACAGTCATGTGCTTAGCAGGGTTAAGTCGCGCAGCTGTACATTCTTTTTTGCTATGTTAAGCAGATTAACAGCCCAGAATGATTCCAAGTGAAGTCCAGGGGTAATCCAGTTTTGTAGGATTGTCTTTTTAACAGCAGTAAATCCAGAAAACAATAGTTTACTCTGTGTAACCTTTAACCCTATATTGTTGGCATTTAGTTGTCATTCAGGAGACACAAACATGGGTCATAATTATATTCAATTTCCAGTAATTTAGACAACACTGAATTGACATATTTCCAGAATTTTTCAACCAAGGAACATTCCCAGAACATATGTAAAAATGTACCAGGAGTTAGTACATATATGACAGTAATGGTTAGATTGGAGCTTCATTTTAAATCTTCTATACGGTCAGGTATGCTCTATGAATAACCTTAAAATGAATAAGTTGATGTGCTAAATTTTTGGATGTTCTGTTAAGATTAGACCAAATAGTTCCCCATTCTGGAGTACAATTAAAGGCAGCAAGCTCTCTGTTCCATAATGCAGTAACTGAAAGAGGTTTCATAGTAAATTAAATCAATTTACGATAGATCCTGGCTACACATCCTTTGGAGGGCATATATGGTTGGATCCAATCCACCATAGGATGAGCAGCTATAGGAAAGCCCCATGGAACCCCATAGGCTTTAAGCACTGATCTTAATTGCAAATACACAAAGTAAGTAGAAGCTGGTAGACAAAATGTAATCCTTAAGGTTTCAAAAGAGCAAAAACCTCCATCGTCATGAAGATCACCACACACATTAACACCCCTAGAAGACCAAGAAAGTTGAGTAAAAGGTTGTGCCCCTCTTAAGAGATTGTAATTGTGCCATAATGGAGTAGAATGACAGACCTTGACAGGGCCTCCCATTAGTCTTTCTATATGGGTCCAGACCTTAAGGGAATGTGCAACAATACAGCCGAATTCCAAATCAAGATTTTTAGAACCAGTTCTTGTGAATAACAAATCTTGTAGTCGGTGTGGCCTTACTAAAGAAGATTCAATAGTCCTCCATGGGATTTTGGATTCTCGGATGCCTATTATTCCATATAAATTTCAAAACCATCGAATCAATATCAGCAAAATATTTTGGGGGTGGGGGGTGGGGGGTTGGTAGCATGAAAAACAAGAAGTTCAGCCGGGGCAGCACATTCATCTTAACTGCTGCAATTCGACCTTGGAGGGACACTTTAAGGCTATTCCACCTTTCCATATCACGTTTGATCCACAGCACCATCTGGGAGCCTTGATCATTTCAGGGAGGAGAAAACTGCATAACACAGCTGAATGGTCAGATAGTAAAATTGGCAAGATTGTAATAGAGGCCTCTGTTGAGACAAGGGAATGACTAACAAAAATATAATCGATCCTGGAATAAGACTTATGTCTATGCGAGTAAAATGTATATTCTATAATTGTATTATTTTTAAAATGCCATAAATCAATAATATCAAGGTCTTCAGCAAATTGATTCAAAAGTCTGGAAGATAGAGGGATATGAGTATCAGGGCAAGATTTATCCAGCTTAGGATTCATCACAGCATTAAAGTCGCCACCAACCAAAAGGTGAGAATCAGATAACTCCAATAGAAAAAAGTCCATTTAAAAATCCCCTATCTGACTCATTGGGGCAATAGACAGAAGCCAAAACTAGCCGGGTTGTGCCCAATCTAACTTTCATAAGAGCGAATCTACATTCTTCATCATTCCTCATATGGTTAATGGAAAAGGGCAGCCTCCTTTCAACCAGTATTGCTACACCTTTTGTTCTATTGGGAGCAGACGAAGAAACTGCAACCTTATAGTACTTATTTTGAAAGCGAAATACATCACAGTGTTTTAAGTGTGTCTTCTGTATTAGAGCTACTGAGACAGATGTAAATATTCCAGAACTCTGCGTTGTTCATTAAGAGCTAGCCTAATACCATTAGCAATGGCGACATCAAGCTCTTCTTTAGAGATAGATGAATCTTTGAATTTTTTCTTCATACGTGAGTGCTCACCGTCTCTTTTCCTGGTCTCCATGTGGTCTGAAGTATTAGTAATGCAGAAAATGAAGCAAGTCCGTTATTTTGTCAGGATGGACGAAAGATTGTGGGTTTGTGAGCAGAGCTCAAAACTTTACATGCATTGCCACTGAGAGGACACGTGATCCCCATAACTTGAAATATTAATTAAATTCTTTGGTGAAGTCAAAAGTGTAATGTCCTGGCTTCCTGCTAGGCCACCTCCAGCCACTAGGGTTAGAAGAGAACAAACCAGACTAATTCGGGATGACTGTTGGCAATTTAGAGGAGCGCACAATTGATCAACAAGAGGAAGTCATGAAAAAGCTAGAACACCCAACATAAAGACAACTATGTATGACCTAATCACTGTATGATTCTATTCAAAAAGACTTAATGAATGGTTAACTGGGATGAATCTGATAGTAACAAATAAAGGATTGAAGGCCTAGGTGTCACTAAGAGGCCTTATGAAATGCTAGAAATCCATTTTAACCATAAGCTTATCAGGCTTAATAATGGCTACAGGCTTAAAGTAATAATTATGCTTTATTCCACTTTGGTCTGCATTTATGGATACTGCATATTGTCCAACAGGACCATTAAAATAATTAAACACAATAATTCCCAGTTTCATGAGCTTAGCTTTCCATCCTCCAGAAAATAACCATGACCATCAGCTTTCTAGAGTACGCTCACCCCAGTATTCTTAACAAATTAATCCCTTAGAACTTTCAACCCATCCATCATACTAGTAACGTTTCTCAGTAACACTTTACAATTTTCTTAGTTAATAAGTAACTAATCAGGAACTAAGCAGGAATGAATGAGTAGTTCTTCACTGATGCTTAAGTAACTACACTTAACTACCAAAACTACTAGTTAACTGCTCAGTAGGTAATAGTGAACTAATGATTAGGGTAGTTCACTATTAACTGAACAATAACTACTGAGTCTCATAGAGAATTACTTAGTAACTATGGTTTCTTAGAATAACTACTCATAAATTACCAATCAATCAAAAGGCTAATGCACAGCTTCATATTTGGCAGTGTGAACCAGTTTACACATGAGCCTACAAATGGGACAACTGCTAAAATACTACTGTATTCAGTAGACCAGTCTGCTTACTTCTCATCTTTAGAAAAGTAAACACCATTATTTTCTGCAGGAGCACAGTGTTTCTTCTGAACAATAGTTCTCCTTTCATGTCCTCTTGAGGGCAGGGTCAGTTGAAGAGAGGGCTCACGCAAATATCTGAATGTGTATGCCTTCACATTCACTTGGTTCTACATATTTCCAAGTGTGTAATTACTGTCTGTTAGATAATGATTGAGGTGTTGCTGTTCTTCATTAGCAGCTAATGATGATCAGGAATAATATAAAATGAAACAATGGTTACTCATTATTAAAGAACTAGGAGTTAATGATGATCAGGAACAGAATAACATGAAACACATCGTAACTCACTACTAATGAATTAAGAGTTATTGATGATCAGGAACAGTATTATAAATTGAACTACATTGGAAATAAAAACCCTAAAGAAATGATGTACTGTAGTACAAAAAAAGTATTCATAAAGAGATTTTGAAAAAAATAAGAGTAAATAAGTTGTTTATTATTTCTGTTCATATTTTAATTCTGATTTACTGTATCCCCTGATGTACGATGAGTGAATCAGACTCATGGCAGACCCCTGGGCCTGTGAGGCTTTTCATTCATATTCAAGGTTTTATTCAGACTGTAGCACTAATGTAGAGACGCAGTTAGCTGACTTGCTAACTAATCTGAACTAAGTAGGTATAGTGTTCTTGTACAATGTTTGTTTTACTGTGTTGTTTCAGAATTATAAGCACATGTTAGTGCTTTATTAAACCTAAAGCTCCTGCTGATGTTCTGTTATGAGTGCATCTTAGCTAGGTAGAGCTAAGGTCATGGGCAGTAAAACTTTGTGCGAAACAGATGTGTGTGTAACTGATGTACTAGCAGAACATACTGTGATCCGACTTTCTCCTACAATAGGGATGACAGATTTTGATTTAATTTTGTTTGGGTGTATTATTTTCAGTGATATAGTATTTGTACAGAGTTCAACAGGTGGTAGTGATTAGAATTCAGGTGACTATAATCTGCTGGGTGGTTTTGATTGGTTGAAGAAGTACCATGACTGACAGAGGGATTCTGGGAAATGGAATCTTTGATGATATGAATGTCCGACTGAGAACCAGGAAGCGTGACCCTAGTCGATGCCCCATAGAAATCAGA